TAAATAAAATAAATTATAATTATTATATAGATACATATATATTAAATATAATTAATTATATATATAAATAATATATAAATATAATTATATTGTGGCGTTTACCCTGAACTAACTTTATTCTCATGAAATTGCTAAAGCTTACTATAACAGAATAATAAAGGTCGTAACGATTATGAAGCTCACCTCTACCTTTTAGACTTTTCCTTTTGATACTATATTCCTTTATTGGTATTGCCTGACTCTTACCCAATATCTTAGAATATTAAGGATCACTCACACCGCGAGTAATCTAAAAGAAAATATATTGCCATTATTAATTTACTTTTTTCATTATATTACTTATGAACGTTATCATTATTAATCCATCTATTGAAAAAAGAAACATCCTCATCGTTACTTTTACTGTTACAGCCAACATACAACTCGTTTCAACCTTAAGCTTGAGTCTGTGAAGGCATCATCTACAAGTTGTTCAAGAATCGTTATCATTGAGTTGCCACAAGAACACGTCTTGCCGGGGTCGATGGCCCAGTGGTCTCGGGCACTCTCGAGATCTGTGGAGAGTTCGCTCCTGTGTCGCTTACGAGGTCAGATGAGGACATCACAAGGTCAGAGGTTTGGGGATTGATAACCCTTATCAGTGGCATCTGCTCCTCGTTCCAAAAAATAATGGCTCAATGGAAATGAAAAAAATGGTGCATAGGATCTAACAGCCGGTGAACTAAAAGTATCTTTCTCTTTTTTTTCTTAGTTTCTATTGGGGGACCAATCAAGAACAGAATAAAATCAAACAAAAGGTCCATGGGATTATGCATATATATATGTATATATATACATATATAGCAAGTTACTGCGGGGAAATGTCCAATATGAGCGACATCAGCAAAGGATGAAACACCACTATGACCGTGGCAAGCGATGAGAGAGGGTGTTTATAGAGAGCAATTGGACACCTGTAATCTTCTACGTTGATCTCTGACGCAGTAGCATCCCGAACCCGCATGTAGATCACAGCCTCCACGGACACAGGCACAAAGTCGAGCGCCAGGATCTTGGTGTTGGGGAGGGCGAGACATAATTACTACTCTGAGTCCCATTGAGAAAACTGTCATCCAAATTAACGTTAGGTATTTTTAAGCAGAGCGACCCGGCCATATGTATTATGAGCCACGCACAGCTCTGTTCTTTTGTGTATAGTAAAGGGTTGAAAATGACGAGGCTCCGTCCCTCCCATTAAAACGGATGCTGCGGCGTCTTAGGTCAAGACACCAGAAGACTAGAGCTGTAACGGAAATCTAGTTTGATTAAAATCTCTAAACAACGTATATCCAGGTGACAGAAAAAAGAAAGTAAAAAAAAAAAAAAAAAAAAAAAAAAAAAACGACTCTTACAATGCGTCCTTTTTGCGGCAATTAAGAACTACTACAAAGAGTCCGGGGTGCGTTCGGAACACGAGTCTCCGACCAGGCAGGACTTCGACTCCAATCAGCTGCTTAGAGTTGGCCGAACGCTCTCTGCTTGGCAAGTAAGTTCTGCCAGTCTCAATACACAGAGTGATCGAGCTGAGGACGAGCAGACCCGCTGGCCGGAGAGGGAATTACGAACACATCCCCCGGAAAACCATTCTTTTGTGTTGAAATTTGGTCTCAAGAAACAGGCAGAAAACTGTTCTAAATTCGACCATGACCCGAGTAACCCTGTGGTACAGATGGTCAATTTAGAAAGTGTTTGCTCTCCGCGCATAGCTTCATATAAATGATGGACTTTGTAATGTGTAATACGAAATGAGATGAAAATCTAAACCAGAATTGCATATTGGTGTGGGTATGACTGAATCTCTTTGTAATTTTGAATGTTAGGATATCTAGTTTTCTGCTGTTTGGAGGATCCAGATTAGGATAAGGTAAGGGATAGCTTGACCAGTGAGATCCTAATCCTCCCCCCTCCCATAAAAGTGTCAAATGATACCAACTAAACCCTACTAAATCCTTAAACCCTAGTTCCTTATCATACCTAACACTTCCCTCAATAGTTTCTCACTATTCTAGAGATGGTCGAATGTCACAGTGGTAAAGGGTGAGAAGTGAAAAAATGGAACACAGGACAGTTTAGTGTTTGAGAAACGGAAACAACAGTAATAATTCGCGGGAGAATAAAAAAAAAGAAACAATCACGGTGCTGAGCGTGAGACAGTAGGACAGTAACCGGGCATGCAAACGCCCCCGGCCGAGCCCACTTTTGTTGCAAGGGAAGAAAAAACCCTTCGTTAATCTTCTAAGGGACATAAGTGGGCTGGTAGGTGTCGCTGTATACTTCATGTTATGGTGTTCTTAATACAAGGCATTTAGTCTTGTCCCAGTCTTGGATGATTTTTATATATATTTGTTTTTATATAGAAGAATCAATGGTCTACAAACTTTTAGACAATTTCACAAGTGATGAAGAAGTAAAAGTGCAGTGATTGAAGCCTAAACTGATGATTTCTAATTTATTGTCATTTGCTCACTTTGCCAGCTGGTCACCAACACTAAGGCTGATCTATAACAAAGGGATATATAAGCAATACAGCTCTGGATGTATGAAAACCGTGACATCTTCCAATGGAATGATACCAGTGGTGCAAACACTGAATCATACCACGTGAGGAAAAATCTAATGGGGTCACTTGATGTGGGGGCTCATGGGATTATCTTATCTTCTTTTTTCAGTTTCTAAGAAATATGACCAATAGTGGGCAAGGCCGGGTGATAATTCTTCATGTGTATGAACGTCTCTGAGGTATCAGGTCACCAAGTTACGAGTCATCAGGTCAGACACAGGTCCTAGGCAGGTGCGCGAGTTGGAGTCGTCTCGCTAGAGGAAAGAAACAACAGGGCCAGAGAAGCGGAACCTTCATGACCTAGTCGAAGGTACACCAAGAACCTCATCGTAGTCTCGTAAACAAGAAAGTATACATATCTTGAAACAGCTACGTAATCTACAAGACTGGTTGGTCTTGGTAGATTCGAGAGGTCCAAGGAGGGGGATGAGAATTGCTACTAGCTAGCCAGCAAGCTGAGTCTATGAGCACACCCGCTTGAGTGAGTGCCAGGCCAGGGATGGAACCCAGCCGCTGTGATAATCTCTAAATAGAAAGCATCTAAAATAAGTAATTAAATTTTTGCCTCCGATTATCGGACAGAGCACCTGTAGTCATCAACGTTGGTTTCAGTATTGGTTGGGTTGCACACTCGCAAGTAGACGACTGCTTCCACTGAGACCGGAACATAATCCAGCGACAGGATCTTGGGGTGTTAGAGTCGGTTAGTTAAGACTCGCACATTAAAACACTCGAACCATCATAGGTGAAGAGAAATGGACGCCGACTGACGTAAATCCTTTCTTTATGTATGCAAAAAGCATTAGTTAATTTTTTGCGCAAGGGATGAAAGATATGATGGAAGAGTTGGTGGGAAAAAGGAAAAAAGACAACTCTGGTTCCATGATATCTTCGCTAAGCAGTAAGGAAGTGGGAATATGCATTCACGTAAAGGCTCAAAACTCAAATGCATATCACATCCCTTATCAGGTCTAAAGAGCTTCATGACTTTGGTTTCCAGGACGTTAGGGTTCGGTTTTATCAATTCATTTCCTATGGATGGAAAGGAAAAAAAAATGTGAAAAACTAGGTGCAAGGGGCTTTATGTATACAAAAAGAAATTGGATACTATGTGTGAGTACTAATTTCTCAACAACCTCTAACACAACACACCCATACACTCATTAGTTAAAGGCGAAGCAGACGTAACGACGTTATAAAAAAAGAAAAATAAAGGAAAATTATGTTTGGAGTGTAGTTGATCCGCTTGAAGTCTAGGTGGTCGAGAGTCATTTTTGGGAAAAGGATGGGATGAGAGAATAATAATAATAAAGAAGACGAACACAAGATAGAGGAAAAATAAGAATCGTGTTGAGAACGAAAACAATGGAAACAACACTACGAGTTCGCGGATGGAAAAGGAAACAACCACGGTGCTGAGTGTGAGACAAACGGGCGATAACCGGGCATGCAGTTTCGGCCTTTGGCCTTTCTCGTATCAATACTTTTGAATTGTTGGGGAAGTTTAATAACCCTCAGCTATTTCTTGTGGGTCACGGTAAGCGAAAAATCTAGATGGAAGCATTTGATTCTGTACCGAAGTAGATGAACGGAAAAAAAGTCAATACTGTTTACAGTTTGAGTTACAGGCAAGGATTTTAAACATTTATCTCGGTACAGAATTTCTGCCAACATCACTTCCCCCAACATCACATTGTCAGTTACTGAGAATAAGGCCAGGACGCCTCTCTCGCACCGTTAGTAAAGTTTGCTGAACACTGAACAACACGTCTCCTCGTTTGGCATGGTGGATGAAGTTCAGACTCGAACCAAACCAACTGAGGAATCTGGCCATTCGGAGCCAACGTAAACATTCAGTTGTGATGTTTAGAAACCTGAGGCTTCACTACAGACAGCCAAATAGCTGGCAAGACCGGGTTAATACTTCGTGTGTATTATCGTCTTGAGTTATGAAGTAGAAGACAGAGAAGAAGAAAAATTAAAAAAGGTCACCAGGCTACGAGTCACCAGGTCAGACGAAGGTCGTAGACAGGTGAGCGAGTTCGGATCGTTCCGCCACAAGAAGGAAACACCAGGGACAGAAAAGCGGAACCTTCATGACCTAGTCGAAGGTATACCAAGAACCCAACAGTCTCGTAAACAAGGATAAGAGAAGAAAAAAATTGATTTGATGGTTTACTTTTTTATCTACGAGACTACGTGGTTTTGGCTGGTTCGAGAGGTCTAGGGAGAGGATTAGAGCTGCTACTAGCTAGCCAGCAAGCTAAAGTCTATGAGCACACCCGCTTGGATGGCTGCCAGGCCAGATATGGAACCCAGCCGTTGTGATAATGTCTAAATAAAGAGCATCTAAAACAGATAATTATAAAAAGTGGTCTCCGGTAGTTATCAGACAGTGCACCTGTAGTCATCAACGTTGGTTTCAGCATTGGTTGGGTTGCACACTCGCAAGTAGATGACTGCTTCCACAGAGACCGGAACAGAGTCCAGCGACAGGATCTTGGGATGTTAGAGTCCAGTTAGTTAAGACTCGCACATCCGGACGCTTGGACCAGAATGGCGAAGAAAAAGGGCACAGAGAGATTTGGGATCTTCTCTTTATGTATACAAAAATTAGAAATGGAAAATTAAGATTGCAACAAGATTTGCTAAGTCTTATTTTTGGACATCAAACTTTTCTTTTTCAGTGAAAATGAATACGTCATTTGTGATATTCAGAAAATAAAAGGTTATTGATTACACACAAAAATTGATTTAGGGCCTAAGTATAAAATCCATACTTGATATTTACTCAAGGAAAGTGATTTATAAAAGGGGCACCACATGATCTATCGTATATCTTGTATACAAAAAGAGTCCGGATTGTGACTAGTTTCCACAGTAGCGTCCAAAAAAATAAATAATAATCAGATACTTAAGCTTAGGGTGAGGTGAAGGTGGTGGCGGTTTCGCTGAGACTTAAGTGAACTATTGAAAAAAAAGAAAAAAATAATTTGATTCTTGGAAGTCTAAATCTACTTACAAAAAGTTAGACACCATGAAAACAAAATAAAGATAAGCAGAGAAGTGCTCCTTGATGCGAAATGTGGTCTTCTGCGACACATCGGTATTAGTAAAGCACAAATGATTTAAGAGGGAAAAAAGTGGTGAATGTTACATCTCCTTTTGTGCTTTATTATATGAGGATAAAAGCTGTAGAAAATGGCAGGTTGTGAGACAGGAATAGTTTGCACGTAACCAATTGCGAATGTCTCTGACAGCGAACCAAGGAAAGCACTACCGTAGCGTGTAAAAGGATGGCTCTCAGTATCATCAGACAAGAATCCACAATATCAGGTATTAACCGTAGCCTTTCAGCGGAGGGAATCTTCGACTGATTTTTTTATTTTTTTTTTTTTTTTTTTTTTTTTTTTTTGACTAGGTATGTTGATGATGTGTTTGTGCGAAACCTGAAGTTCTCAACAACATAATTCACCATACTTTCTGTAAGGGAAATGACTCATTTCCGGTAAATGATTGTCTTAGACCTTATTTTGCTATTGTCATCAGTAACACACATGTCTACACTTGGACCCATTGGTATTGTTCTCGTGCTGAACGTTCTTTCAGTCTATTAAATCATGAACTTGCTGAATGAAACTTAGGGCATATGTGGGTGTTGAGAAACGGAAATAACAGTGAGAAACGCGAGAACGAAAGAACGGTGCAGAGCGTGGTAGTGACGTCACCGGCATGCACACGTTCCGGCTGGGTCCATTCTCTCGGTGGGGGAGTCGCCTCTTCTCCTCTTCACCGCAGATCACGGTGATGCACCAAAGGTTATGCTGAAACTCTCGCAAAACTCATCGACTAAGGTACGAGAGAGAAAAAAAGGGTTTGATAGCGGACACGAGGAGATTCCCTCACCGAGAAAAGCACCAAGCTTCCATATTCCTCTAGGATCATTAATATAAGTATTTCAACGATTGGTCAGTCCACCCCACTTGTAACTAAGAGATGTGATCGTGTAGACTATAGAGCAAACTTGTTATTCTAGATTGTAGACTTACGGCGCCTGCTAGCCACAAGACAAACCATACAGCATGGCCAGAAAAGCTGCCTTCGAGACCAAGTCGAAGTTAGACCAAGTACACACACACAGTAAAAAAAAAAAAAGAACGGCAATTTTTTCTCTTTGACTTCAAGGGATATTCCTATATCTCTATGTTTTGTACATATATATACAGTACATGTATATCTATAATTATAATTAAGAGTGCCGTTATAAACATCCTAGCTCTGAGAGTCTTCTGTTTAACCTGGAATACAGATAAACTCTCTTTCTATGGATCGTGTAGCCTCGTTTCTTGCTTCCTTCGACTGGTCCAAGGGAAGGATTGAGCTGTAGTAGCTAGCATGCGAGCCATCACATATAATTTGTAGGATTTTCATTAGTATCTACATGTTTTGGCGATTATGAATGACCGAAATTAGATAAATCTACATGACCATTAAAACAATCTACTTGTATGTGTTAAGGTAAAAATATAACTCCATGACGCCCGTCGGATGGCTAGCAGGCCGGCCAACCTCGCCACTCTTGTACTTAGGAGCATCTAACAAGAGCAAAAGAAGGAATACGCATTTTCTCTCAGGCAATGGCACCTGTAGTCGTCTACGTTGGTCTCGGCACTGATGGCGTTGCAGACCTTCAGGTAGATGACTGCGTCTACAGTAACAGAGACCGAATCCAGGGACAGGATCTTAGGGGGAGAAGGCAATATGACGGCTGTCAATCGTGGTTCCCTCCCGGCCTACCGCTAGTTAATGGCTGGGCGAACTCAAGCTGGAGGGGTGGGGGCTTCTTCTAGCCTGAGGGGGGAGGGGTTGTCTAGCCTACACACTAGGACAGTCTAGCCCAAATGATCATCGCTAGACTGACACTCAAAGGCTTCGTCTTTGACAAATCAACGGCTTTGGGCACTGCGTGAACACCGAAGCTGTGTCTTCGCTCTGTCCGATACTCTTTTGAAGCTTCGGTCGCACACCAGATCTCAAAGTCGTTGATGGTGTAATATACATGGAAACAAAAAAAGAAGAAATCGTAGATCTTAAGCACAATAGATTATGAAAATCCTCAACAAATGAGCTTGTGTGCAAACCTTTTGTTTCTTTTTTTTCTCTCTTGGCATTCTAAATTTATGAGCATGAAAATAAAGCGCCTGAGGTTCGGAAAATACCTAAGACGTACGGTGAAGAGCATGTACCAAACCAACACCTCTGAGAACATTGCACAAACACCGACCCTTTGTACAGCCAGCGTTACATAGGTACTGAAAGGGAACACTGATTACTCAAGAACGTAAATCTAGCACAAAAATGAACAAAGCCTCGCCAGTCTTCATTTATACCTGAAATATGAAACTGATGTGAAATATAGTCTCACGTCTGGAGTATAAGTATACAGTTTATAAAATATGGTCGTGTCTTAGATATATATAACCAAATGTAATGTATAAACAATGAACATTGTATGGAGCTACGCCATGCTAACAGCTTAATGCCTACCTCTTGTGGCGGCACATCGAAGGAGACGGTTCGGAGGTCAACCTTCCTGTAGGAGTCGATGCAGGGGACGATGAAGAAGATGCCAGGCCCTTTGGCGCCGCCCTTGAGCAGACGACCGAGCCGGAAGATGACGGCTCGCTCGTACTATACCTGGACCACCACTACAGGAAAAGAAGAACCAAAGCAGAGGGTTTGAAATGCGAGCAGATCCGCGGAGCCGGAACAGAGACCATTCATCTTTGAGGCAATTTTATCATCTTTGGAATTACAAATGATAAAAAATAATGAGCTTATATATAATATAAATAAAGCAATAATATATAAAATATAAGTATACACAAATATATATAATTCATAATAATATAATATATACATATACATATCATATAATAATATATATAATATATAAATTATAAATACGTTGTACATAATGAGCATTATATATATAATATATATATATAAGTATAAATAAAATATAAAATATATAATATAAAAAATATATAATATAAAAAATATAAATATAATAAATATAATAAATATTAAATAAACATCATATAATAAAATGTAATAAAATAATATATAATAAAATTATAAAAAATAATAAAATATAACTATATTAATATGTATATATTATATATATAACATATATTATATATAAATATAAATATACAACATAAATTACACGTATGTACATATAGAGCTTAATATATAATAATAAAAATATATATAATAATATAAAATATATATACATATAATAATAATATATTATAATACATAAAATAATAATATAAATAATATAGGATTATTAATATATTATAAATATGTATATAACTATATATATATTATAATATTATAATCAAATATATAAATGTATGTATTTAATAGATATGTAAAGTTAAAATGTAATTAAATACATTTTGTATCGTATCTAACTTTTATAGAGCCGTGCACCTGTTTATTCAATGCTAGTTATTATTGCTTCAAAGACTCATATCAAGTATATATACATAGACAAAAGATAACATAACTATATAAATAATATATTATAAAATATATAATTAAAATATATAATAACATATAATATAATGTATGGTTATATATGTTATATGTTATAAACATACATATACATACTATTGATATTATATATAAATCAAATAATAAATGATATATGTGTATATACTTTATATATATAAGTATTGTATTATGTAAATAAATACAATTATATAAATATATAATTATATATAATAATAAAATAATAAATAATATAATGTATATGTATATATAGTTAAATATAAATAAAATCAACATATATAATAAATAATAATATAAAAATAACATAAATAACTAATAATAATATAATTAATTAAAAATAGATATAATAAAATTAAATATTATAAATAATAATATATATATAATAATATATATGTTATATATATAATATGTATAATAATAATTTTACCCACAACACGACACACACACCATACACAATATATAATAATAAAATATAATATAATTATATATATATAATAAATATATATATATATAAAAGGTAATAAATAATAATAAATAAATAAAATAAATATATATATATATAATATAATATTATACATAAATAATATTAAATACATCTACACACAATATCAGTCACTAAATTGTTCTGTATGTACATCTTTTATAATATATGTGTTCGTATGCTGAAACATGAGGTATAATCTCTTCATGTAAACAAATGTAGAAGCATCTGTCCATGTAACAAAATGGCAGAGTGTATCATTAGCCAATTAATTTGTCAGCGGGGTTGCTAATTGCTCCAAATATTTCCTTTGATATGAGTATTTTTCTATATAGATGTCGTGGTATTTCATTAGTATTGTCTAATTTCATTTCCTTCGATACTTGATATATATATTTTTTTCTGATATTTTATTATCATTATTATTATTATTATTATTATTATTTTTTTTTTATAGATATGGTATATTAGTATCACTATTATCAGATTTCAATTTGATGGTAAGTGAAATCAATTTATTTTTTTCTTCTGTAAATAGGTTCATGAAGTCATTAGAGATATATTACTGTTGTCCAAGCAGTAATTCGGAGAAAGTGTTTTTTATAATTCCATTTGCTTTAAGTCGGCGAAGAAGCAGAAGAGCAGGAGGGAATAAGGCGGAGAAGATTAGAAGGAAAGAGTATGATATGGTGAGAATAGAATGATGATGATGGTTATAGTGGTGATGATGATGATGATGATGGTGGTGTGGTGGTGATGAACCATATTCACGTTGACAAATTTCGAAGTTGTGAATTGAGAATGAATATTTTCACAATACAAGAGATGTATTTAACCGATTTCGATTATATCTTCGTCAAATATACATGCATTTCTGACGAAGATATCGAAACAGGTCAAATGCATCTCTTTTTGTGGAGATATTCATTCTCATTCATAATTTTCTACAAGTGATCATGATGGTGATGATGATGATGATGTGATGATGATGATGTTGGTGATAATGATGATGATGTTGGTGATAATGATGATGAACTGATGATGATGGTGATGATGGTAATTTTTGTGTTTATGATAATGTTAGTAATTATAATTACGATACTGACGAACGTGATTATAATTAACGAAATATGTGAAATAAACGAAAAAAAGAGGAAGAAAGAAAGAAAACGACCGAAACCTCAACCACGATGATAGAAAAGAAGAAAAAGAGAAAAAAAAACAAGAAAAGAAACAAGAAAAAAAAGAGGAAGAAAGGAAAACGACCGAGAAACTCAACCACGATAGAAAAAAAGAAGAAAAAGATGAAAAAAAAAACAAGAAACAAGAAAAAAAAACAAGAAACGCCGCACGCATCACGCACTTCATTTCGTTACGGCATTTCCTCCGTGTCCTCTTGGCGAACATCCGAAAATGCGTTGAGGCCGAAAGAACATTTTTTTTTTCCTCTTCCCTTTCTCTCTGTATATCTGTTAAAAAATACGAAACACACTCTCAAGCGGAACGAACGCGAGGCTCCGATTCCATTCTCCGAGAACTAAGAAAAAAAGAAAGAAAAAGGAAAAAAGAAGAAACAGAGGGAGAGAGATAGAGAGAGAGCGAGCGAGATAGATAGATAGATAGAGAGAGAGAGAGAGAGAGAGAGAGAGAGAGAGAGAGAGAGAGAGAGAGAGAGAGAGAGAGAGAGAGAGAGAGAGAGAGAGAGAGAGAGAGAGAGAGAGAGAGAGAGAGCGAAAGAAAAAGAGATAGATAGAGAAAGAAGGAGAAAGAAAGAGAAAGACAAACAGACAGACAAAGATAGATAGATAGATAGAGAGAGAGAAGAAGAGAAAGAGAAGAGAGAAAGAAAGAGAATGACAGACAGACAGAGAGAGAAAAAAAATGCAAAGATGACTTTCGAAATTTCGGATATAAAACAAAACATCTTCGACTTGAACGTAAAGTTGGATATTGTCTTCTGATTGAGGAAGTCGGGAACGCACGCTAGGCTGGGTCGCGCGGATACCAAATTTCTGGCGCTGGGAAGAGCGAGAAGAGCTGATAAAGATGGGAGATAAGAAGAGCTGATAAAGATGGGAGATAAGAAGAGCAGGTAAGACTGATGGGGAGATTGAGAAGAGCTGATAAAGATGGGAGATAAGAAGAGCAGGTAAGACTGATGGGGAGATTGGGAAGAGCTGATAAAAATGGAGCTTGATGGGGAGATTGAGAAGAGCTGATAAAGATGAGATGAATAAGAGATAAGAGAACGAGAAGAGCTGATAAAGATGGGAGAGAGCAGGTAAGACTGATGGGGAGATTGGGAAGAGCTGATAAAGATGGGAGATAAGAAGAGCAGGTAAGACTGATGGGGAGATTGGGAAGAGCTGATAAAGATGGGAGAAAAAGTAGATAGAATTGATGGGGAGACTGAGAAGAGCTGATAAAGATGGGAGATAAGAAAAACAGATAAGAGAAGCAGGTAAGACTGATGGGGAGATTGAGAAGAGCTGATAAAGATGGGAGATGAGAAAAGCAGGTAAGACTGATGGGGAGATTAAGAAGAGCTGAGAAAGATGGGAGATTGCGAGATAAATAAAGTAGATAAGACTGATGGGAAGACTGAGAAGAGCTGATAAATATGGGAGATAAGAACTGATGGAGACATTAAGAAGAATTGAGAAAGATGGGAGATAAGAAAAACAGATAAGGCATAGGGAAACTGAGAAGAGTTGATAAAGATGGGAGAAAAGAAAAGCAGATAAAACTGGTGGAAAGATTGAGATGAGCTGATAAAGAAAGGAGATAAATAAAGCAGATAAGTCTGATGGGAAGATTGAGAAGAGCTGATAAAGATGGGAGATAAGAAAAATCAGATAAGACTGATTGAAGATCGAGAATCATTGTTATAGACGGGAGATAAAAATAAATTAGATAAGAGTGACAGGAAGACAGATACTAGCTGATGAAGGTGATGAAAATAGCTGATAAAGATAAAACAGCAAGACTAATGGGAAGTCTGAGAAAAATTGATATTGACAAGAGATAAGAGATAAGATTAGATAACAGTGGTGGGAACACTAATAACAGATGATAAAGAAGGGAGACAAAAGATTGGATTACATAAGACATACTGAAAATAGAAGATAAGAATGGAAGACAAACAAAAATCAGATAAAACCGCCGGGAGAAATGAGAATCATTGATAAAGACGGGAATAAACAAATAGATTAGACATAACAGATGAAATAAAATAAAATAGATATTAAATGATTCATACACATTATCATTATTATTTTTTATGTTGATAAGCGTGTCGATAAACGGGATAACAGTTATAAGTCACTGATGAAATTTAGATAAATTAATTGATAAGGAAGATAGAACATAGCAGGTATTTAAGTATATGAAAGGATGAAATGAAGAAATGATTAAAAATCATTGAAGTCAATCAGAATAAAAGATAATAATAATAAAAAGAAAATTATGAAGAAAGATGAAAAATATAGAGGAAAAGACGTAAAAAGACCTAAAAATATCAAACATAAACAAAAGTCTCAAGTTCATCTTATTGGCAAAAGCATCAACTTTTAATGTAAACATCAACATAAAACAAAAATGCCAACTTATAAACAAAAACACACGGTCTCAT